TCCTTACTCGTTGCCCCAGTCCAGTCGGACGGTGATGTGTCGCTTCACGTCTCGGCTCTGGTCCTGCGTCAGGTGACCGGACAGCAGCTGCCGTCTCAGGTCGATCAGCTCCATCATGACGTGGCGCACCTTGTAGAACAGATCCACCTTGTGTTTCTGATGGACAGAGAGAGAGAGAGAGAGATCAGATTCACAGCGTTCATCTCCAGAACCAGCTGAGTCAGCGGTGCTTCGCTGGCAGCCAGCAGGGTGCACACAAGGCCGCTGTGCTGCGCTGCTGCTTTCATTAAAGGCTCTCAAACAAGTCACACTGGAATACAGTAAAGGTGAACGAGTTCACCGTTTCACCGGCTTACTGCTGTTCAGCCTCTCAGAGGGAGCTGCTGCCAGCCTGGACTGGCCAGGAACAAGAGGAGATCACAGCTCGTATCAAATGCTGGCTGTGTCCAGTCCACCTGGCCTGCAACAGGCTGGACAACAGAATGAGTCTAATCCATTCAGAGGGCTTGTTGGGAATTCAAACCGTCAGTCATGTTGCTGCTGTGGTTTGTCTTCTGCAGAGAGAAGCTTAAACAGACATGACAGAAAACGAACCTGAGCAACGAGCTCAGACACAAAATCACGGCTCAGATGATGGTAATAAACACACATTTAGTGGACCAGCAGTCCAACGCTGTCAGCTGTTTACGACCAACGTCTGTGTAGAAATACCAACAAAGCTCCTCTCTGCTGCTCGATGTCATCGATTATCAGAGCTTTGGCCTCTTGGTTGGACATAATAAGCAAAACATTTGGAAAAAAAATGTTTCTCTGAACTGCTTTGAAGTGAGTAAACTGGGCAGCGTGGTGTCGTCTGAAGGTGGCGCTCTAGGCTACAATATGTAATAACCAGAGAGGAAGAAGTCGAAACAAAACCAGAGCTCCAAAAAACAAAACGTAATTATTCTTCACGTCAGCTATCAGACGTGTTTCATGCTGTCTGGAGACAAAGAACGAAAGAAGCCATCAGTGAGTTGAACATCCGACACGTCAGAACATATTAAAAAAACACGCTTTCATCTCCTTTTTCTCAAGCTCTTAAACTCATGTTAGAAACAGTCAAGACAAACCTCTCCATTAAGATGCACAAAAACACACCACAGAAACAGAAACGAGGCTAAAGAGCCGCAGAGTCGGCTTCAGGAGGAGGTCGGGGTCGATGGATGGGTCCATGAAACGCTGAACTTATTCATTTTCTAATGCAATACTTCAACATGTGCATAAAAACAGGACTAGTGACTCCTGTCAGAGAACGAATCAGGCTGCAGCCCATTAAAAGTTATTTGCATCACTCGAGAGAATGGCCGCTACGTAAATATGTGAGCTCATGTACATCACAGTAACACAGTCAGACACACAGCTCAGAATAAGCGATGCCTCCGCTGGATGTGGGTCTATTAATAGTGGCGTAATTTAGCCTGCAGGCCTCCAGCAGCAGGCAGCAGCTAAACGTCCATTCAGTTCTTGGCAGGACAACTAAACAAGCAGAAAGGAGGCAGGTGCTGCGGACTCCGGATAACACAACACACACAGCTGTACTGTACACATACATACATTAGTATGTTCATGCATATTGTACACACACACATGCTGCACATGCACATATATGTCACTTAATTATGTATAACTCTGAGCTGTAAGTAGTGCACGCCGAGGCCAGGAAGCCGGTGAACCAGGAGGAGGAAGGAGCAGCTTTTTTCTGCTGCTGGTACCTCAGTGGACCGAAGACCCCTGCTCATTAAACCCTTATATAACCGGCTGCAGTGGAGGTGGAGCTGTTTTTGGCAACCTGGCCGGGTTTGGAGAAGCGGCTCTGCTATCGACCGCTAACCTGCCCGCGAGGTTTCCCAACTGCTCTCCCAGTGCATGCTGGGACGGACGCAACAATCCTGAAGCTCTAAATATATTCCTGAGGATCAGCGGTGGAGGTAGACGGCAGTCTGGGTCTCAGGAACTCTGCTGTACGTCATCCTGCTCTCCCCGGTACTGGCAGGAAAACAGACAAACTGCGGCTTTAACAGCGTCCTGTGCAGCTTCTAGAGGCGTGTTGGGGAAATATGTGATTCACAGGTCTTGTTCTCAACAAATGTGACCTGACTGACACGTCGGAGTTATTCTCATTGTTAAAGAGCGTTTTAGGAACATTTTGGATTCATTAATTAGCTTTTGCAAGACGAAGGGGAAGTGGTGTAGAAATGATTCCTGTGATATCAACCGGAGACTAATGTTGGGGAAGTGGAGCATCGGACTGCAGCAGCAGCAGCAGCAGCTCGCTGAAGTTCAGGACAATGAGTTTGTCGGTACCAGTGCTGCAGCACAACGCGTCGCCGCTGACAGACGGTAGATTGTGGAGACTGAAAATCGTGTTCAGAGAGAATTTAACTTCACCTAAAGATGGTCGTTTACTCAGCCACTGGAACCAAAGACACCAAAACACTGCTTCCTGTCGTTTTCAGTAGCTGTTGGTAGTTTTTAATCTCTGTGTACTTTCCCTTTGAAGTCTTCAGTCATTTTGGGTTACCTCCAACTTTAGTCATTGTATTAAGTTGTTGTCAGTCATTTCACTCGTTTTCAGTCGTTTTTATTTGCTACTACTTCGGTCTTTGGTCATTTTCCTTTATTTCCAGTCACTGTTTCCAGCTGAGCAGATTTTCGGTCGTCTGCTCCTTCAAGCCTCATCACCAACAGAGCTGTAACAGTAGACGTCTGTGCAGGAGGTTCTTTGATTTGTGCATGATTCGAGTCCAATGGGAGGTTCTAAAACCTGCAACACACCTCAGAACATTCAGCGTCGCAGGCCGAGCTGCTGAGTCCTGTGAAATCTGCCCTGTGAGTTTTTCTCTGTTTGACACGAGGGCCGATCCGATCCGGGTCGTGAACAGGTTCCACTGAACCGGTTTCCTCTCTGCAGCTCCGTGGCAGCGCTGCAGAGAGGAAACTTTGTTGGTTAAAGTAAAAGAAGCGTCGGCGCTGCCTGCAGTCTGCACGAGGACATTTAAAACGGGCTATAATTTTCAAAGATTGGCTCCCTGTTGTAAGAGGCGTTTATGAATTATAGCGCAGCCCCGAGGCAGCGTGTCCACGGGGAAGCCCTTTCCACAACACTGGCATCTCCTCCTCAGCTGCTCCTGCTGGGAAGCCTCCCGTCGGAGCCCCGTGATTAGCATGAGTTCAGCACTCAGCTCGGCGAGCGCTCCGGGTTAAAAATACTACAACTTTTAGCCAAAGAGTGCCACATTTCAGATGGATGTTCAGTAGTTGCTTAGCAACAACAAGAGTCACGCACGGCACTTCCCCTCAGCATCTGCTCAGCGTTTGTTTTGAAGGAGATGCCCAGTAGACACGGAGGCTAATGCTCTTTGATACACACTCTGAGAGTCCAGATTAACATTCTGCACGAGTGTGTCAGCATTAAAGATGCAGGAACATCTCTGGGAGTAAAACCTTTTACACACCGTCGTAAAGGACGGAGAAAAGTACGCTTTAATTATCTCCATTAATTATACATGCGCTCAGTTTATTTTCTCACCAAGTTACATCTTCAAAAAAAAAAAAAACAGGTGAAAAACAAGCGACGAGTCACCAGAACAAGTGGAAGCAACAAAAATAATTCATTCTGATAATGAAAGAATGAAAAGCAGGGAAAAGCCTTGTCGTGGAGCGCCTTCATCGGATTCAATTAAAGCACATTTGCTTCAAACTTTAATCAAAATGATGAATAATTAGTCAGTGGTTCACTCAGAGATCACATGTGACGACAGCAGAGGAGCTCAGAGCCACCACATGAAGGAGGTCGGGCAGCACAGGAAACACAGCAGCAGCTTTAAAGTCACACATGCAATAAATCCAACATAGACAGCAGAGCACAGCGTCTTACTGTGTTTGGGCCAAAGCAGCAGTTTGTAGATGATAGTTAACACGAAGAGCAGGAAACTCACAAAAATCTGCATGTTTCAATAAAATGTCTAAACCCGGTTCGAGGCCGGATCATTCTCTGGTTCTGTGTTTAACCTCCAGTTTCTGTTAGTGTCACGTTCAGCCACTGTTTGCTTTTGTCGCTGTTTTCAGCCGTTTAAACTTCCTGTTTACGTTTACTTTGAGTCTTTCTCGGTGGTTTTTAGTTTATTTCTGCTTTTAGTCGCCGATTACTTCCACGTTCAGCTGTTTTCTGTCTCTGTGGACTTTAATTTGCACTTTTCATCTCGTATACGTACATGTGCATCATCTTATTATTATTTTATTTATTTGTTTTATTCCCTTTTTGCACTGTTTGGAAATTAGATTTACTTGTTTCTTGCTATTTCTCTCTCTCTATATACATATATATAGATATACACCAGGTAGAACTGTGTTTGTGACCAATAAAGACCCTGAATCCTCGAATCCTTGAATTTTCCGTCGCGGTGTACATCCCTTTAGTTCACTGTTTCTAGTCGCTGGTTAGTTTTTTCAGATCCTGTTTTCGGTCTTTTTCAGCTGCTGTTTGTTTTCAAGTGCTGTTCACTTCCATTTCAGTTTCTGTTAATGTCACGTCCAGCCACTGTTTGCTTTTGTCGCTGTTTTCAGCCGTTTAAACTTCCTGTTTACTTTTTGCTTTGAGTCATTTTCAGTCACTGTTTATTTCTGCTTTTAGTCGCTGCTTACTTCCATGTTCGGCTGTTTCCTGCCTCCGTGGACCATCATTTCTAGTCACTGTTTAGTTTTGTCAGATTCTGTTTACTTCCATTTTCAGCTGCTGTTTTAACATACTTGTTTTATTATCATATAATAATACACATATAATAATATAATAGCTGTTCCTTTGGCTGTCAGTCACTCTCAGTCGCTGTTTGTGTTTGTTTAAACCATAAAACCCACTTAGTGATGTCCAGGAATCGACTGTGGTTTGGGTGAAAAACAACAACAAAACATTTGTGCAAATTCTAATCAGGAAGGCCTCATTAATTTCTGCGTTGCCATGGTGACGAGTCCTGCCACAAGAACAACCACAAAAGAGAGGAAAGCATCGGAGACTACGACAGCCTTCGAGGTGACAGTAAGATGCTGGGTGCTGCTGTGGACCGGCTGCAGGAGGCCGAGCTCCGACCACAGCTCTTATACTGAATAATTATCTATAA